TACTTCGTCTTGCGTCTCAGTTCGATTTGAGCTATACAACACTACTTATTGCAGGTGGAAAGATGATCTGTTAACTGCAGGAGAGGAGTGACGTCCACTTTTCGGCGATGTCCTCCGCCAAATTGCGTCGTGTCATGGTTTTCGATTGCACCAAATTGGATGAATTTCGTGGTATGTCTTAGCTGCCAAGTGATTCGAGAGGCTATTCCATTGTGACGACTACACGGAGACTACATGAAGCAACTGCATGACAGATCCTGTACCCTTTCCTGAGGTGTTGCTAGTGTGAAAGGTTGCGCATAGATGTAGCTTTTCCTCGCTGGCCAATACCGCCCCTAAGAAAATCTTTCTTACACTACTGCTTTTTCAGATGTCCTCGCAATTGAATACACGCACGTGCATGTGGTTCGATGGGCAATTCGTTTGCTTTGTTGGGTGTTAACAGAAGAGTCCAACACACACAGCCCACACAAACTGCAAAGTCTATTGCAGATGTTTACAATATTGCTCCCCATAAGACGCAGCCACATTCCTAGTATCACCCAAGTATCTTGATTTAGTGACTTCCCTCATATATATTACGCTACTTAATTGGATAGTTAGTAGAGTATACTTATTTGAAAAATCAAAGGTCGATACCCTTTTCAATTTGTCCCATTATGTAAAGCAATATTTCACAAACACTTCAACTAACATAGCACAAGACCAAACCGGCTTTGAAGATCCAAACCCCGGTGCACATCAAGTAGAACTATCGCGGAAGTACGGAGGAGGAGGTGGGTGATGGAGACGGGTAGAGGGGACGGGACAGTCACATAATCGATCGATAATTACACAGATGACTGGGGAAGAATAGGAGAAGGGGAAGAAAAGAAGAAAGAGTGGCATGGCGTATTACCGTATTCGACGAAGGAGTCGTCTAGAAGACCATTTTGTGAGGCTTGTCGTGTCGACTGAGGGCAAATTGGGATCGTAGGTAGGCAAAGAGCATTTTGGCTTGTTTACTTCGCTTGATTGCCTCAATGACACGTTTATCGATCAACTTTTGGTCCTCTTTTCGTTCCTCTTTTAGCACATAGGCCTTTTTCTCAGCAGCAGCGTCCACAAAAAGGTTGTCTGCGGCATTCTTGGATCGAGGTTGAGGCTTCTGACGAGCGAAGTATTCTTTGGTTTGCATTCGACTTGGAAGACGCAACTGAATAGTAGGAAGGAAGGAGACTCAAATAAGCATACAACTGACACATTTTAAGGTTGATGCGCAATTAAAGATGTCTTCGCATTCCTTTCATTTAGGTCTGAAGGGTCAAACCCTGTGTTTGCTTAAACATACTTTACTTTAACCAACAAACTTTGCCGCTGATCTGTTTGGAAGACAAATACTTGTTTGACAGAAATGATAACAAATAAATCTACCTTGTCCATCTTTATGCGCGTCTTGGTGGCAATGACGTAGTCGGGGTGTACCCTCCTCACTGGAATTCCATTGCATTTGAGAGGCCCAGTAATTAAGAGTAGTCCAGAGGTTCGATGTCGTCCCACAACAACCGCTCTTTTTCCTCTATGTCTTCCAGCCAGGAGGATTACGATAGTTCCAATCCTTCGCAATGACGATCTTAGCTTCCACCTTCGCACCGCCTGACTCGGCTTGTTTCGCCGTCTTCGTTTTAAGCTCATCTTTGTTTGGGTACCTTTGGGAGCCTTTCCTAGGCCATGGGTAGGAACAGGAGCGCCGTCTCTACGATGTTGTTTCACTCTGTGGCCCACCTACGTGTTGAATAAGGAAGAAGATTTGGTGTTTTGCGTGTCTGTAAAGCTCGGCCTACTGAAATACGTTGAGTGGGCGTACTTGAGTGGCGAAGAGGCGAGGAAAGCGACCGCATTCCAAGTGACCGACACGAGGACGTTTGCATCCTTTAGTACCAGATTTTTCTGCTCCTTCCACCTCCGATTTGGGTCGTTTTGGTCGATCATCTTTATTTGGCTTCTTCTTCTCCAAATTCTTCGCCTTATTGTCTTTTTTCCTAGATTTTTCTGCACTCGCATCTCCTGGGACTCCTTTGGTCTTGCGTTTTTTAACAGCAGTTTTCCTAAAGTGAATAGAGGGTAATCATATCTTACCCCCTTTGATTTTAATGTTATGCTACTGAAAAGGATGAATAAGTAGCATTGTTGACTTTAGAAACTGTTATTTGAATTTGCTCAGAAATTACCCACAAATGGTCTTACATTGCATATTCGATAACTGGAGGGTAATTTGTGCCTACGAAGAAAGCCTTTTCAGCTAGTTTTGCACAGAAATATGGGTTTGCGCAGGTTTTCTTTGTCGTAGAAGCCCGGGTCCTCTCATGTGAAAAACGGGGTTGGCTTATGACTTTATTGCCTCTTCCTCCTTTTTTTAGAAACAAGAGAGTAATTGAACGTAAGCCTTCAAATTTGCATCGACCCTACAAGTACGTTTATGTGCACTAGGACCTTGCAGCTTGAAGGCTTGATTCTCTGCTTTGATAGGTCCGACGGGTCACTAAGTCCAAAACACCTTTAAGGGCGGCAGTTCTGCCTGATCGCCAAGCTTGCCATTACATGGGGTAAAAGTAATAATCAAATGGAATTGGGTGATTTGACTAGCCCTTCGATTGGAGAACATAAGCTTGTGGTGATAGAACAAGATCTGACTTCAGTGTAGCTTAAGTGAGGTTGGAAAAATTTGACCCTTCATTACAACACACAGATTTATGCTTCATTTCATTGTAGCTGCGATCGAAGACTGTACTGCCAAGCTACTGGTTGTGAAACTGCGTGGGACGGTTGATGTGGTTGCCTTTCATTCGTTTGACACTATCTGACACCACACAGAGAATATGCTGACAACCAGTTGTGACGCCCTGAGGCTAACCAACGTGAGAAGTTGTTTACTGTCCAAAAGGCGGGTATCATTCGCATGAACTGCTATTTTTTTTTTACAATTTCTACTACACAATAAACGCATTCGCATTCGCTTTACTCTCCGCAACCATTTCATCATGTGCCAAAAGATATAACGTCGCTCCCTGCTATAAAAATGCCTTTTTAAGCTCCATTCCAAACAATAAACACGCGAAAAATTCCAACATTGCAAGATTTTAGTGATTCGTTTGTATAAATTGTCATGGTGTAGTTTGAGTGTGCGGGTTGTTTGGATGATGCACAGCGCGTACAAAGGTGTGCACCTGAGACGAAACATTCACAAATGTAATTCATCAAAGTGAAAAATGTACAACAACTGAAAGGGTGGTAAGAAGATGGTGAGGTTTGTGCCGCGGACGCTTGCATGTCACACTTGTGTGCTGTCGGGACTGAACAATATAAACAGGTAGAAGTACTGAAAAAAAGAGGTGTCATTTGACACTCACCACTTTCCTTCTCATACCATTGTGCCTTTTGAGCTTTATTTTGCGTTCATCCTAAAGTACTTCTAATCGCACATAACGAATCGACGATTCATTTTTGCATTTTATGCCGTGAATGATGCAGAAAATTAGTCATATGAGGGCTTTAAATGTGTTCTACTGGTGGCACAGCTATTAGCAGATGTCTTAAGGCATTTAGAAGGCTCCAACCGACACTGCTAACAGCGCACATATAAATGAAGTGCGTCAACAATGCCTCTCACATCAACCATCGCTTAGAGAGGCGAACTCCACTTCTTCCTTAATACGCCGTCGAACTGCATTAGAGTTGCCGACTAAAAGAAAAATCTGCATTCTTCCACAACCCTTCCTTACTTCCCCACCCGCGTCCCCTAAAAAAACAAAACTAATGTCGCCATGACAATTGTAAACACGAAATAAATGTTATGCCTATTTA